AACAGATGTAATGACATTAGCTTCCATCATTCAAAATATGTCTCAAAGTAAACTTTTAGCAACAAACTGAGACAAGTTAGGATACCTTTACAGTGACGTCAATACGTTGAATCAGCCTACATTCAGCCCAATCATAAAAGCAGATGAAATCATTTGAACACATAGCTAACAAGGTTCCTCCAAAGATCTTCTCAGCTGAGAAAGTAGGGCGGATACTCCTCTTTTCCTGAAAACATCTTTTGTGAATGAGCCAGAAGCGAAAGTAGATATCTCCATGAAAAGTATTCGTAATATTTCCAACAACCATAGAGACATGCTCTAACAAAACGTCTTAGAACAGACAGAAGGAGAATTACGAACCTGGAAATTTTTGCTAAATGTCTTAATCTTTGATGAGCTTTCTCTAACAGCACACTCCCCCTCGGACGACCAAACAAATTCCAGTCCTGAACCAAATGACCTATTTCTCCACGCCAAAGCAGTGTAGATTATATACTCCCCGTCACCACAGACTACGACAAACCTCCCATTAGGATTGTGCTTTAAGCTCTGAGAATCAGAGTACCCACATATCAGATACAGATAAACAGATGAAGATGACATGCTTAGCGATACCCACAACTTATAGGCACAGGTCAATCATGCCAGCTTAATGCTTTTTGCCCAAATAAATTATACAATAAGCCAAAACATCAAAAAAACCATTGGATCAAGCTGTACAGTAACACTCACTTGTGGATAAAGATCACAGGTCCCCAACTCTTTAACAGCCACGGGCAACCTTTCCCCATCAGTAACCTAAGGTAAAGAACAAATTAATACCATCAGGCAAGCAAATAAACAGATAGGGCATCCTATGCCACATTATAGGAGTTACAAGTACGGCCTATACCTCGTAATCTGCACCAATACTTTTGATATTCGCAGTTTGAATTTCATTATGCTTTGCCCATATGATTTTTCCGGTATTGTCCATGCTAGCGACAGGAATTTCGCGTCCCAGTTTAACCATAATGGTTCCTTCATCATATCCGATCACAACCCTGTGAAATAAAAATGTGAACAAGCTTCTTCGTCTCGCAGGATAATTCAATGGACTACTAAAAACAAGTAGGGCTCTTAAATATCGCTTCTACAAAATCTAAGACCCCTAGTCTTTACATATCCACAAAGTTAGGGAGAACAAAAACAACCACCAGGGTGCCAACGAATTGAACGCCAGAAGCAAATAGTTGAATCCCGGATAAAAGTTCTGACAAGCATTGAGTTATTAATAAGAGGGGGGAGCTAAAATCCAAAAACTCACCGGCGTGAACTCTTGATGTAACCAATAGCCCAAACTCTCTCTAGGCCATAATTTAATGTGTTCTCTAGCCTGCAAGACACATCAGACATAAGGAAACTGAGATTACAAATGAAAGGCGAAAAGAAGATAATGGTAATGGTGAAAGGTGCACAAGAATGAAGCCCAAGTGAAGATGGGTTAGCTAGGTATAGCAGTAATTATTAATATGTCCAACGAAAAACTGTTTACACTATAATACCTGTATGTAGTTGCATGCCAAATGCGAACCGTGCCATCTTCAGAACCTGTGATTATAATCGGAAGTTCTGGATGGAAACATACTGCAGAGACATTGTGTGTATGCCCTTCCAGCGTCTGGACACAACTTTTTGTTTGATAGTCCCAGACCTGATTCAAAAAATTCAACAAATAAATAACCTGAAGCATATAATGTTCAGTAGAAATGTACCATCTAACAGAGCAGTGAACAGGATGCAGACCTTAGCAGTGTGATCATCAGAGCCGGTAATTAAATAGGGTTTATCGCCACCAGTGAAATAATCTACACAATTTACTCCTTTCTGATGGGCATCCAATGTAAAATTTGGGTCTGGAGAACCAAGATTCCAAATCTGAGAACAAGGATGTAAAACATAGAATGAGCTAACACTTTTCAGAACCTTGCGCGGACTAAGCCATATTCAAGTTACAAACTTAGACCATCTCAGCACCTTTATGGTACGATCAAGTGATGCACTGGCAAAAGTGTTGGTGTCTTTTGGATTAAATGTGACTTGCATCACATAGTGCGAGTGTCCCTCGAATATCTGTGTGCAAGCCCAACCCTTTTCCCAGTCCCAAAGCTTTATGAGCATATCATCAGATGATGACAGCACATATGGAAGGGTTGGATGGACAGCCACACACCTAATGTAGTCTGAATGTGCTTCAAACACTTTAACCTTGTCCATGGTATTGTAATTGTATACACGGATATACATATCATCAGCTCCTGCCACAACCCATTGCTTTCGCGCTATAAACTTGGCTGACCGAACTGCAAAGTCATAATATAAGAAATCAGAATAAGTGACAAACTAAACAGGACAACATATTACATTCAAAAAGAAAAATGTAAAACAAGAACATTATAACTAAAGTCGCAGAAAATACCTGGTAATTCGGTCACCTCAAAGGATTTTGCCATGACCTGAGGATTATCAAGCAGGATTCAGATGAGAAGGAGTTCCATGAATCATAATACAGCTTAAAAGTCTGCTAAAATTACGATAAAACCTCATAGAATACAGAAAGAAAATAATATTTCAGTTGCACTTTTGATCATTCCATGTCACAAATTCTTCGTTATGCATAAGGAAACAGAAAAATAAAATCAATTTATCCACACACCTGTGTCTGGTAGTTCCAAATACACAAGGTTCCAGAATACAAACTTGCTAGAATCCTGCATAATAATGTTATTTCCCATTCCAGTCGTTAGTAGCAGAAACAAAGGTACAAAACTATAAAAGCAAAGAAAGTGAGTGCAGCTCCACAAAATTATGAATAAAACATGAAACTAAGACGCACGAAAGCACAGTCAAAGCTTGAAAAATTACCATGGTTCTGTAGGATGCAGATCCACAGATTTTACTCTCTCAGATCTTTGAGCTAACTTTCTCTGATCCAAAAATCAACACAACACACAATTATTAACACAGCATAACACCAGCAAGAACAATACAAAACAAATCCCCAAAAATAGTACATGGAAATCAAAACAATACCTTGATCTCGAGTCTAAGAGGCTGTCACAGAAAAGAAAAAAAAAAAGTAATCAGTATTAAACTAAACATACAAGATCGTTAATAAAAAAACACATTCGT